GTTTTCCCTGCTCAGCTGCACCAAGGGATACCTTGCTTGCACTGCCAAAGCAAGGGTTTTCCTTGCTGCCCCAGCAGTGAGCTCACCATTGTGGGGCTCCTGTATGTTATGTATGCTCGCTCCAGGACAATCAGAGAGTGCTAGGACATTACAAGTGTTTCAAAGGGGTTTGAGCAATGCTGTGTCTACGGTTAATAATGGAGCTTCTGTAACAAGTTGCAATTTTGGCCTTGATAGAACCGACTACAGAATGCTAGTCTCAGGAAATCTTAACTCCTGCAGGATGTCTGAGGTGGGCATGGAAGTGCCCAAGGAAGATTAGAGAGGAATTGTTGTGAGATAATCTGAGGCACATTACTGCAGAACACAAAAAATTGCAAGAGTGGTGGGACAGTGACAGGAGGGAGCATAAGGAGAGCACGCTGTGGCTCCTAAACGTTATGGAGTGGGAAGCAGACATGCTGGAGGCACTGCACACAGAGCAGTTGCAAATCAGCTCTCCTGCAGCCAATGTCCCAAACTGTTTTCAAAACACCCCCTTTCCCATCACCAGCAATGCAATTTGGGCACTACCCTATCCCTGTGTGCCGCCCACCCAGCCTCCACCCATGCAGACTCCCTCACGCTCCAGATGCACTCCATGCCTATCTGCATGCAGTTTAGCCCTGATCAACTGCAGCCCCCCCTTCCACCTTGCACAACACATCAGATGGCAGGCCTGCATATGAACCTTGGATATATACCTGTGAAATTCTTGGGCCCTGCCTCACTTCCTGCCTCTCCCACCCCTTCCCTCCATGTCTCCCACAGTGCAAATGTTTCATGCTTCACGTATGTCCTACATATATTGTGTTAAATAAATGAAACTTGTGTATTTCTGATAAATCTTTATTCCATTACATGAAAGCAACAAGCAAACAAGCATGCCCAAGCAAAGCTATGGTCACTATAGCGCTAAGTGCAGCCTCAAGACTAATCAGAGTAACCCCCTTGCAACACAGTCACTGCACTCCCACACATAACAAGTTTCACTGATCAGAGAGGTAGCCGTGTTAGTCTGAATCTTCAAAAGCGGCGAGGAGTCCTGTGGCACCTTATAGACTAACCAAAGTGTTGGAGCATAAGCTTTCGTGGGCAAAGACCCACTTCGTCAGATGCATGTAGTAGAAATTTCAAGAGGCACGTATAAATATGCAGGCCGGAATTAGGCTAGAGATGACGAGGTGGATCCAATCAGGGAAGATGAGACCCACTTCTAGTAGCTGATCTGGAGGTATGAATACCAAGAGAGGAGAAGCTGCTTTTGTAGTTAGCTAGCCATTCACAGTATTTGTTTAATCCTGAGTTGATTGTGTCAAACTTGAAGATTGAACTGTAGCTCAGTGGTTTTTCTTTGAAGTCTGGTCCTGAAGTTTTTTTGCTGCAGGATGGCTACCTTTAGATCCGCAATTGTGTGTCCAGGGAGATTGAAGTGTTCCCCTACAGGTTTTTGTATGTTGCCATTCCTACTATCTGATTTGTGTCCCTTTATTCTTTTACATAGGGACTGTCCAGTTTGACCAATGTATATAGCAGAGGGGCATTGTTGGCACGTGATGGCATATATTACGTTAGTAGATGTGCAGGAGAATGAACCAGTGACGGTATGGCTGATCTGGTTAGGTCCTGTGATGGTGTTGCTGGTGGGCAGAGTTGGCACCGAGGTTTGTTGCATGGATTGGTTCCTGAGTTAGAGTTATTATGGTGCGGTGTATAGTTGCTGGTGAGAATATGCTTCAGGTTGGCGGGTTGTCTGTGGGTGAGGACTGGCCTGCCTCCCAAGGCCTGTGAAAGTGAGGGATCATTGTCCAGGATGGGTTGTAGATCACTAATGATGCGTTGGAGAGGTTTTAGCTGAGGACTGTAGGTGATGGCCGGTGGTGTTCTGTTGGTTTCTTTCTTGGGCTTGTCCCGTAGCAGGAGGCTTCTGGGTACACGTCTGGCTCTGTTAATCTGTCTCCTCACTTCCTCGTGTGGGTATCATAGTTTACAGAATGCTTGTTGAAGATCTTGTAGGTGTAGGTCTCTCTCTGAGGGGTTTGAGCATATGCGGTTGTACCTCAGTGCTTGGCTGTAAACAATGGGTCGTGGTGTGTGTCCGGGATGGAAGCTGGAGGCATGCAGGTAAGCATAGCGGTCGGTAGGCTTTCGGTATAGGGTGGTGTTTATGTGACCGTCACTTATTTGCACTGTGGTGTCCAGGAAATGGACCTCTCGTGTAGACTGGTCCATGCTGAGGTTCCACCCCACCATCAACCTCAGTAGGTGGTCTAGTGTCAGAACTGGAAAGTACATGCTATCTATTGCCCCACTGCAGTTTGGGAAGCCTATCTCTCAAAGTCATCCAGAATTTGAAGCAGATTGCCGAGTCACGGTCTTTCAGAGCAGGATTTAATTGATGGCCTTCAACACTTCTATCTGCACAAGCCTAATGGTTGAGTTTCCCACTCCAAAATGATTGGCAACTGATGAAAGCTGTCGAATAGCCAGCTTCCACAGCTGTGCTTCTCCACAGGCATGGCAGCTCTCATGCACGTGTCCTTGCGCTGCAGGGTAGGGGCGAGCTCAGCACACAGTCTGATGAAAGTGGCTTTTCTCATCTGAAAGTTCTGCAGCCACTGCTCATCATCCCCAAATGGCATGATGATGTGATCCCACCACTCAGTTCTTGTTTCCTGAGCCCAAAAGCGACATTCTGTGGTGGTCAGCACCTCCATGAATGGCACAAGAAACTCTCATGTTGTAAACGCTGCATGGACTCCTCCTCATCACTTTGTAGCTTCAGGAATAACTCAGCTGCCATATGTGACATGTTAATGAAACCTATTAGCATTTTCTTTAACAGCTGGGGATCCAATCCCACACAGTGTGGAGGCAGATCGCACAGCACAGAAGCTGTGGATGGAAGCACAGGGGTTGCTGAGATGTGAAGTGATGCTCCATGGGGCATTGGGACAGGGCACAGGATGTCCTGCACCTCCCCATTAACCACTGTGTCAGAAGAGGAAGAGGTGTTCTGTGGGATAGCTGTTCAGAATGCACTGCTCTGAAAAGCGCTGCAAGTGTGGCTGGCAGCTGACAATGCAGACACCCAATAACTTTTTTATTTCTGCAATCCATGAGCAGCGCTTTAACTGTCAGTGCTTTTCTTCTGCCAGTGTAGACAATGCCCCAGTGCTAGATAACCTTAGGCTTACAACAAGGGAGGGAGAGACCATGTGCAGGCTCAACCAACACTGGTACCAAAAATTTCTGATTATAGGCCCAGGGGCACATATACACCTACAGTAGAGCACCCATAAGGACACTACTCAAAGAAGTGCCGAGCGCTCACAGCTGGAACTGAAGTCGATGAAACCAGTGCTTTGTACTTAAATATAAAATGCTATGTATGATCTTTTATAACTCAGATGGGGCACCACTTTACTTTAATCTGTGCCTCAGTTCACCATCTGCAACATGGTGGAAGTAATGCCCCCTCATTTCACAGGAGTTGTGAAAATATGTTGGTTAATGTTCATGAAGCACTCAGATACTGTAATGATTAACATCACAGAAAACTCCATAAGGAAATGAATAACTCTGTGTTTTGAGCAGGTTTTGGTTGGTGTGCAGTCAATAAGGCCTGGAGTGAACAGTAAACAATGAGGACAAACAAAATACTGAATAGTTGCCCATTAAGTGAGCTCCCTCCATTCTGTCAACTGAGGCAGAGGTTTTGTAGAAAAAAGGATGTGACTATACAATTAAAGACTATCATAATGCATATTCATATGGGGTTTGAATTAAGGTTGTAAAGCAATCTTTATTGTGACATTTCCTAACTTTTGAATTCTTCACTTTGCAATCTTAGTATTCTTCTTTTATGATCGTGTTTGTAGGTGAAATTGTATTATTTTAAAGGAACTAACATGCTGAACACATACTGAAAATAAGTAACCTCGAAGGCCTTTACAGTGTAACTTGTCCATTCTTACTTCTTTTTTTGATGCCATATCTCCCAGTTATGGTTGCCAGGTATCGACTCGGACAGTCCGGTTAAAAAAAAATCAGAAAATATCGGACACCTAAAATGTCCAGTATTTTCTGATTTTTTTTTCCCTACCAGGAGGCAAAAATCCAGACACCTGGCAACCATATGACACTCAGCAACCGCTCCTCCCTTCCCACCCCCCGGCTTACCCGGTTCTGCAGGGAAGTGGTCTTGTGGCATGGAGAAAGAAAACAAAATGGCCACTAGCAAAAAAAGCCCCAAAGGCCTTAAAGGGGCCATGCTGGGGGTTTTTGTATTTTTAAATTATCATTTTTTTTGCTTAATAATTGTCGTGGTCCTTCCCCCCTTCCCAACTTTGGTTTTTCTCAACAGTGAGGGTTTTTTTTGGCTGGGGGGGTGGTGGTGTTCGGTATTTTGGGTTAAACCATCTGGCAACCCTACTCCCAGTTTCATGCTATATTTTATCTTCTGTAGATTTTAAGCTCCTCTAGTCAGCTCTGTGTTATATATGTTTGTAAAACATAGACGGTACCTACCTATTGGACTGTTTAAATAATACTGTAATCACTCATTATAAGAGTCATACAGTTAAGAGAGAGTCAATCAAATTTGCTTCAGAATGGAAGATAGGGAATGGGAAGTGACCCCCTATTCCCACTCCTTTCATTGCACAGTAATTTCTATACAGTATGTCTTTTCTTGGGAAGCATCTGGTACTGGTCATTTGACTTTGTGGACTATGGCTCTGATCCAGTATGAGTGTACTCAATTTATGATAAATTCCCAGATTCTCAAGTTGGACTGGGAAGAAAAATGTCAGTAGTAAAGTACAAGGTCTTGTGTGGAGAACAGAGGCACATGGGACCCTGTTGTACCCAGATATGTAGAGTTGAGAATAAGGTAGTCTACTTCAGAGAGGGCCTAAGGTTTATTTGCCCAGCTTCCTGAGAAATTGCCTGTGACTGACCTTGTCTAGCTCCTTCTGGATCACCCAGCACTTGGCCACTCCCAGCAGTACCTGGATTTGTCCCAGGCGGTTTCCAATCTCTGTCATGATGCTCATGGAGGAATCATACCGAGGAAAGGCTGTCTGCAGCATGAGATAGACAGTCAGATACATTTAGCTGTGCTCAGTCCTTGTGCTCCCTTTCTATATCTCTTTTCTGTCCCCGACTCCTCCCCTCTTTTCCCCTTGCTCCCACCTGTATGTCTGCTCGGCTGCGGTGGATATCAGCAAAGCAGAGAAGGCACAGTGCCTGCAGTGGCCGGTCCCCATGCTGCAGGGCAATCTTCATTGACTCCTAAAAGAAAACATCTCTAATCAGTACAAGAACATTACCACGGTGCAGCTGGGATTGAAGCCCTCAAAACGCCCCAGCCTGCCTCTACAACTAGCTTCAATGACACACCTTTGGGGAAGAAACCTTGTCCACAGTTGTGCAACATATGTTCCCAGCAGAGAGCATCCCTGAACCCAGCCCTTGAGAACAGCTTTGGCTAATGAAACCATGTGCTGCATCTAGGGATGGGAGGCAGAAGCAGTATCTGGAGTACAAGGTAAATGCTGCTGTATCTCCGTACCTCTAATCCTGACCTGCACAGGCCTCTCCCCAAACCCGTCTCTCTTCCATGTTTGGCCTAATATCTCTACCTCCACCTTGTACCTCACAGCATTCCATAGCATCTGCCAGGTGTCCCAGCTTCCGATAGGCCACTGCCATGTGGTATTGGCTCATTGCCCGGTACTTCAAACTCCAGCCTTTTCCATAATCATTCACCAATTCAGCTGCTTTACACGGGAAGAAAAGAGCTTTCTCATAGTCCTGGAAGGCAGAGACAAAAGCAGGAAGACAGAAATGAGTTAGACGATTAGACTGCCCCAGCAGTAATAGGACTCTTCATCATTTCAAAATGAGCATGTGTCCCCAGCTAAAGAAACTAGAATGGCCATACGGTAAAAATCCATTTTCCCCAGCATGTCCCTAGTGGGTCCAGAACTTAAGTTATATGCTGGGGTGATTTCATTGTCAGCTCATTTAGAAAAAAAAAGGACTCTGCTTCCCATTATAGAGATGATTTAGCCTCCTTATGGTCAAAGCCTGGTTCAGAGCTTTCTGTATCCTGACCTACTTGTCCACCATCGCAGCCTTCTACATTCGGACAGGGATTTTCAGCTTCAAATTTTCCATATAATTAACTCTTACATTCTCCATCAGGTAGATGAGAATCCCTCTTGGGTCTGGTTGGTTGTTATGGTAATAAATGGAGGGGAAGTCAGGGCTTTGTCATAGTCATCACTTCCATTTTTTAAAAAGGGAAGAGCATCCAGTATCTTAATCGTAGGAAATACTGTGCAAATACATTTCCTTTATTTAACTATAAAAATAGTTTAAATCATAATATTTAACTAACAATATAACACCATTTAAAAGTGCTTGGTAAAAGATTAAAAAAAAACAACCCTACCCGTGTGCCATTTTTATTCTTTGTGATAAAAGAAACTGAAGGAGTTTAATTTTTTTCTGATTGATTTTTACCTTAGAAATATCATAATTTTCTGGTTTTGTTGAGGACTAGTGGGAGATGCAAAGGTTGTTGTTTTTTTAAATCATGAGTTAATAAAAACTCAGCGGTCATCAACAAGGGTGACAGAAACCAAGACTTTGTATGAAAAAGCGCTAATAATTTCTTTTGTCATAGAACTAGTAGCTACAAATAATGCTGGCTTTAGTCACTATACAGGCAGTCCCCGAGTTACGCGGATCCGACTTATGTCGGATCCGCAGTTACGAACGGGGCACTTCCTCTCCCTGGTCTCCAGCAGACCAGGGAGAGGAAGCAGAGCGGCGGAACGCGCGGCCAGCTGACAGCCCAGACGTGTCTGGGCTGTCAGCTGGCTGCGCGTTCCGCCGCTCTGCTCTGCTCCGCTCTGCTCCCCCTCCCCCTGGTCTGCAGACGGGGGGGGGGGGGGCA